TTGTTATTTTAAATTACACAGTATTTGAGTACTACACTATGTCAAGCGTTTGTTTACATATGCGGAGGATATGTGGGATAAAGAAGGAGGCGAGATCATCTGCAGCAGAGTGAGGGGGATAGTGGAGCTAGCGATACATTATACCTACCCGGGTTAAAGGGAAAAGCGCTATTTGACCTATGCAATTTGGGTCATAGAAGGAGGTGAGAGTATAACTGTATGTCTCCTGATGGAGAAGCACATCTAAAAATATACATGGACACAAGGAAAAAGGAGCACCTGTCTGGCACAAAGTTTTTTTTTTTTTTTAATATATGCACGGATAATATCACATATAAAGGACTATATGCTGTGGTCATTATTACATTCACAAGTGTTTAAGTTACATGTTTTTTGATGCACTCTGTAGACTGGATACAGTATATGGAGATATATACGTGGCACTAATATATCACTATGTATGTATGTGGTGAAACACATGTGTCAGCAGCACTAGTGTACACAGGAGGTTGGTTGTTTATGAGCTGAAGTTTTAATTGTATACATTGACCAATAATACAGTTTAAGAGATGGGTGCTAGGAGGTCATCAAATTTATGACCAAGTCCCAACTACAATTTTACACTAATATTAATAACCTCCAATATGTGCAGGTGGTATTCTAGCAACTGGAAGATTAATATTCAGAATTACATTTTGAACCCAGGGATACCAAACACAGTGTACCTAGTCACCCAGGAGGCAAGAGACTGCTTTCTTCCCTTTCGTATGTGCTAACATAGTCATGTATGACCTTGATTTGTTCGGTATGATATTCCTCATTCAAATATATACCTAATATTAATGTGTCCTGTTCCTGTTGAATTTTATGAACTGTATGTGGAATTGTTACAGGTGGAATAGATGTTTTATGGCACACTCTGAATTCCTAGAGCCTTCATGTGTGACTGCATTATTGTTTTACAATTGGGCAGAGGAAAGTGTTTTCCATGGTTAGTGGAAACAGACATCCAGCCAAGATTAATTATCTGTTTATAGCCTGGTCAGATCTGTGTTTTAATTAAGATAAGAGGTTCTTTTGAAGTTTGTTAAAAGTTACAGCTACAAATTGCACAGTTTTCAGGAGGAGTGAGGGGAGGAATATCATTGCTCATGAAAAACAAAAATGGCTGTCGCGTACTGGTTCCATGTCCTTATTGCGCACAATCGTTACAAGGGGGAGGACAGAAGGATTCGGTTCCAGGAGAAGGACAGCGGGATTCGCTTCCAGGGAGGGACAGCGGGATTCGCTTCCAGGGAGGGACAGCGGGATTCGCTTCCAGGGAGGGACAGCGGGATTCGGTATTAGCAGCGAGGAGAACAGAGGGATTCGGATCCAGGGAAGGACAGAGAAGGAGGACGGAGGGATTCGGATCCAGGGAAGGACAGCGGAGGAGGACGGAGGGATTCCGATCCAGGGAAGGACAGCGGAGGAGGACGGAGGGATTCGAATCCAGGGAAGGACAGCGGAGGAGGACGGAGGGATTCGGATCCAGGGAAGGACAGCGGAGGAGGACGGAGGGATTCGGATCCAGGGAAGGATAGCGGAGGAGGGCGGAGGGATTCGTTTCCAGGGAAGGACAGCGGAGGACGGCGGAGGGATTCGTTTCCAGGGAAGAACAGAGGAGGAGGACAATGGGATTCGGATCCAGGGAAGGACAGAGGGATTCGGATCCAGGGAAGGACAGAGGGATTCGGATCCAGGGAAGGACAGAGGGATTCGGATCCAGGGAAGGACAGCGGAGGAGGACAGAGGGATTCGGATCCAGGGAAGGACAGCGGAGGAGGACAGCGGGATTCGGATCCAGGGAAGGACAGCGGGATTCGGATCCAGGGAAGGACAGCGGGATTCGGATCCAGGGAAGGACAGCGGAGGAGGACAGAGGGATTCGGATCCAGGGAAGGGCAGCGGAGGAGGACAGAGAGATTCGGATCCAGGGAAGGACAGCGGAGGAGGACAGAGGGATTCGGATCCAGGGAAGGACAGCGGAGGAGGACAGAGGGATTCGGATCCAGGGAAGGACAGCGGAGGAGGACAGAGGGATTCGGATCCAGGGAAGGACAGCGAAGGAGGACAGAGGGATTCGGATCCAGGGAAGGACAGCGAAGGAGGACAGAGGGATTCGGATCCAGGGAAGGACAGCGGAGAAGGACAGAGGGATTCGCTTCCAGGGAAGAACAGCGGAGAAGGACAGAGGGATTCGCTTCCAGCGAAGGACAGAGGGATTCGGTTCCAGGGAAGGACAGCGGAGGAGGACAGAGGGATTCGCTTCCAGGGAAGGAAAGCGGAGGAGGACAGAGGGATTCGCTTCAAGGGAAGGACAGCGGAGGACAGAGGGATTCGCTTCCAGGGAAGGACAGCGGAGGACAGAGGGATTCGCTTCCAGGGAAGGACAGCGGAGGACAGAGGGATTCGCTTCCAGGGAAGGACAGCGGAGGAGGACAGAGGGATTCGCTTCCATGGAAGGACAGCGGAGGAGGACAGAGGGATTCGCTTCCATGGAAGGACAGCGGAGGAGGACAGAGGGATTCGGATCCAGGGAAGGACAGCGGAGGAGGACAGAGGGATTCGCTTCCAGGGAAGGACAGAGGGATTCGCTTCCAGGGAAGGACAGAGGGATTCGCTTCCAGGGAAGGACAGAGGGATTCGCTTCCAGGGAAGGACAGAGGAGGAGGACAGAGGGATTCGCTTCCAGGGAAGGACAGAGGGATTCGCTTCCAGGGAAGGACAGAGGGATTCGCTTCCAGGGAAGGACAGAGGGATTCGCTTCCAGGGAAGGACAGAGGGATTCGCTTCCAGGGAAGGACAGAGGGATTCGCTTCCAGGGAAGGACAGAGGGATTCGCTTCCAGGGAAGGACAGAGGGATTCGCTTCCAGGGAAGGACAGAGGGATTCGCTTCCAGGGAAGGACAGAGGGATTCGCTTCCAGGGAAGGACAGAGGGATTCGCTTCCAGGGAAGGACAGAGGGATTCGCTTCCAGGGAAGGACAGAGGGATTCGCTTCCAGGGAAGGACAGAGGGATTCGCTTCCAGGGAAGGACAGAGGGATTCGCTTCCAGGGAAGGACAGAGGGATTCGCTTCCAGTTGAAGGACAGAGGGATTCGGATCCAGGGAAGGACAGCGAAGGAGGACAGAGGGATTCGGATCCAGGGAAGGACAGGACAGAGGGATTCGGATCCAGGGAAGACAGCGGAGAAGGACAGAGGGATTCGCTTCCAGGGAAGAACAGCGGAGAAGGACAGAGGGATTCGCTTCCAGCGAAGGACAGAGGGATTCGGTTCCAGGGAAGGACAGCGGAGGAGGACAGAGGGATTCGCTTCCAGGGAAGGAAAGGAGGAGGGACAGAGGGATTCGCTTCAAGGGAAGGACAGCGGCGGAGGACAGAGGGATTCGCTTCCAGGGAAGGACAGCGGAGGACAGAGGGATTCGCTTCCAGGGAAGGACAGCGGAGGACAGAGGGATTCGCTTCCAGGGAAGGGACAGCGGAGGAGGACAGAGGGATTCGCTTCCATGGAAGGACAGCGGAGGAGGACAGAGGGATTCGCTTCCAGGGAAGGACAGAGGATTCGAGGACAGAGGGAAGGACAGGATTCGCTTCCAGGGAAGGACAGAGGAGGGGAAGGACAGAGGGATTCGCTTCCAGGGAAGGACAGAGGGATTCGCTTCCAGGGAAGGACAGAGGGATTCGCTTCCAGGGAAGGACAGAGGAGATTCGAGGGACAGAGGGATTCGCTTCCAGGGAAGGACAGAGGGATTCGCTTCCAGGGAAGGACAGAGGGATTCGCTTCCAGGGAAGGACAGAGGGAGCTTCCAGGGAAGGACAGAGGGATTCGCTTCCAGGGAAGGACAGAGGGATTCGCTTCCAGGGAAGGACAGAGGGATTCGCTTCCAGGGAAGGACAGAGGGATTCGCTTCCAGGGAAGGACAGAGGGATTCGCTTCCAGGGAAGGACAGAGGGATTCGCTTCCAGGGAAGGACAGAGGGATTCGCTTCCAGGGAAGGACAGAGGGATTCGCTTCCAGGGGAAGGACAGAGGGATTCGCTTCCAGGGAAGGACAGAGGAGATTTCGCTTCCAGGGAAGGACAGAGGAGGAGGACAGAGGGATTCGCTTCCAGGGAAGGACAGGGAGGAGGACAGAGGGATTCGGTTCCAGGGAAGGACAGAGGAGGAGGACAGAGGGATTCGGTTCCAGGGAAGGACAGAGGAGGAGGACAGAGGGATTCGGTTCCAGGGAAGGACAGAGGAGGAGGACAGAGGGATTCGGTTCCAGGGAAGGACAGAGGAGGAGGACAGAGGGATTCGGTTCCAGGGAAGGACAGCGGAGGAGGACAGAGGGATTCGCTTCCAGGGAAGGACAGCGGAGGAGGACAGAGGGATTCGCTTCCAGGGAAGGACAGCGGAGGAGGAGGGAGAGGGATTCGCTTCCAGGGAAGGACAGCGGGAGGACAGAGGGATTCGGTTCCAGGGAAGGATAGCGGAGGAGGACGGAGGGGATTCGCTTCCAGGGAAGGAAAGTGGAGGACAGAGGGATTCGCTTCCAGGGAAGGACAGCGGAGGAGGACGGAGGGATTCGCTTCCAGGGAAGGACAGCGGAGGAGGACGGAGGGATTCGCTTCCAGGGAAGGACAGCGGAGGAGGACGGAGGGATTCGCTTCCAGGGAAGGACAGCGGAGGAGGACGGAGGGATTCGCTTCCAGGGAAGGACAGCGGAGGAGGACGGAGGGATTCGCTTCCAGGAGAGGGAGATCAGGGCTCTATGTATTTCCTGCAGGGATAACATCCATAAGCCATCATTCGGCCGAGACATGCACATAGACCCAGCATGGCTGGAAGGCAAATGGTGTGTGACAGCCGGATCCCCGCCGGGAATGCTGGGATTTGTAGTCCCACAGCTCTCACTGACACTACAGGCCAGGAGATGGAGTGCCGTTCTCATCACCCACAGCCTACATGTGATACCTTCCAGCTTGTGCACAGCTGAGCCCGACCAGCGACTTGACAAGGACCCCAACACCTCTAGACAGCAGGGAAACCATGACTGCTACAGGCCCGATCCCGCTCATCCGCAAGGCATGCCGGGCACTTGTACGTCACTTCCTCCCGTTTTCTCCCTAGTGAACCTATTTCTTGTTATCTCTCTGCTGCTTCTCTTGTGCATTGTACACTCGGCCGTATAAAACCTGTATTTCTAAATGCCATATTCAATTATTAAGTGACTGTGGCGGAACTGTAGAGTGAGAACGGAATGCTTGCACATAGCCGTGTTTCCGCACGGAGCGATTTTCTTGTTGCACCTAGCAGCGTGGGTGGTGCGCATGCGTAGAGTGATTGCTAGCAGAGAAGATGGTGGCGACCAGGAGAGGCACGCGGGTAGATCCTCAGGAGGAGTTGGAAGGCAGCGGCGACGAGGAGCAGGTTGTGTGCCGGGCTGTGATATGGACAGGAGGGGATGGGGCTCTCTGGCAGAGGCCATTGGGTGGACATTGTAGGAGTACACCCAGGACAGGCTACAGCTCACCTCCACCCTGCTATAGTGTCTGTATGATGATAAATAATTACAGTCTGGTGCAGCTGTGCATGCTAGCCAATCAGCTTCTAACTTCAGCTTGGCCAGTTATTATTTATTAATAAAACCTGGAATCTGATTGGTTACTATGCAGAGCTGAAGCAGTAGTAGTAAATCCCCCTCCCCCATTGACCTGCTCTAATGGAATGTGCAGCCAGCCATGGCTTTCTATGGCTATCAGTTTGGTCATTAGTGGCTGGTTAGGGAGATTTCACTTTGTCCTGTTTCCTCAAGGTTCAGCACATGCTGCATCCCTTGCCACCCCCTTGAAAACAATCTGCAGTGGGTTGCTTTTCAGAGGGCATTTGACAGGTGGTGAGGAGGCGATATGTTGTGTCCCCACCTTCTGCATTGACCCTTAAAAGGCTGCTTTGCACACTGCTGTTTCGTTTTTGCCACAAGGCATCATACCTTTCTTTAGGGGGCAATAAAAGTGGTTCAGCTGTCTGCTTTTACTGCTCCTGGCAGCTGTGTGATCGAGCCCTTAGCTGTCAGAGGAACACACAGCCCCATCTGAAGATCTCCCCCCCCCCCCATTCCTCTTCTGGGGGTAACTCAGAATTTGTTGGATTTACCCTCACTACCATTCTCAGTTGTATTGGTGATGAGGACAATCAGAGGGCACAAATCTCCTTAACACAGACTCTGATAAAAACCTGGCGGGGCTTCCGTCCCCTTGCCTCTGGATCCAAATCTAAGAAAAAGTTGCCTTTAGCTATACTTTAAAGTGCATCTGATGCCATATATCTTTAGTACAGAGTAAGGGCGGGTTAGAACCCGTCAGTTTTTGTTTTATTCCGTTGAAGGTCATTACTCAATGATGCGCAGACAGCAAAAGACTGAGACCTGTAGGCCATTAATGGGCTGTGTTTATGCAGCTAGAGCCACCAGGCGCTGCGTGCAGGCAGTTCATTCAAGGCTAATAGAAGCAGTGGACACTCATTCCAGTATGACAGGTGTGCAGGTCAGCGGCCCTAAAGTACACTGTCTGCGATTGGGCCAGGTACCTGCATGTCTATCAGGTTGGGATGAGCTGCTTGTGTCCATGCAGCCTCTGCATCCCCATAGACTGGAATGGACTGACTGCTTGCATGCAGCACCTTACAGCTTAGTAGTGATGGACAGAGTTGGGGCAGGGTGGAACGTGTAACATTTTCCCTCTCCTGCTGCCTCTCTGTGACAGCAGTACGGGGAGAAGTTCCCTACACCAGCTGTCGCTTTTTGAAAAGAGCATGGCTGTGTGGGGCTCTGCTCACACGGCCACGTCGTTTATTCACAGATTTCTTTGAACGGGAAACTACAACTACCGTCAGCCTTTGCGGCTGTCAGGTTGTAGTTATCAATGAACTACCATGGCGCTGTTGAGCGCTCTGGTAGTTCATTGATTCTTTCTGTCAGTGTGAAACTGCCAGCCCATATGAGGTACAGGTAGAAGAGCTTACACTGACAGTCTGCAGAAGACCTGCATGGCACCAGCGATCTGCTTCCCAGGCTCCTACAAAAAAAAAAAAAATAGTAAATGCACATTTTTTTACCTGCAAAAAAAATGCACATTTATTTTTTTTAAAGTGAACTTATCCTTTAATCTGCATAAACACATGGCCTATTGATGGTCTAGGGGAAATTAGCACCCAAATGAATAAAGCTTCAGCCTGGGTTCACACTGATGCGGTGCGGAATTTTCAGCGGTTTCTCTGTGAATTCCACACCGCATCACAATCGCACCCCGTTCATGTGAACCGCCGCGGGTGTGTATGTTAACAACACCCTGAAATCGGTTCGCAGAACGCGTTGTGATGTGCAGAATCGAATCACATGGGCGTGAATACCCATGCGATCCGATTCTCATGCGGACCAAAAAAGGGTACTGCACCTTTTTGGTGCAGATGTGGTGCAATTTGAGCCATACAAAATGTATGGCTCAAATCGCACCACGCAAAATTTGCATGTGATTTGCACAGGAGTGCGGTTCCTGTGCGAATCACATGTGATGTGCCGCGCCGCTTCAGTGTGAACCCAGGCTAAGGGGCCAGTGTGATTACAAGCCACATACATGTGGGGAGATTTACTAAAACCGGAGCACAGCTGTGCATGGTAGCCAATTGGCTTCTAACATCAGCCGATTTTATTTATTTTGTTACAGATACTGATATAACACTGTCAATTTATGCAGCATTTTACAAAAATATATATTTTGTACATTCACATTAGTCCCTAACCCTCAAGGAGCGTACAATCTAAGGGTTGTTCAATTACGTTTTCACAATAAAACCTGGAAGCCGATTGGTTTCTATGCAGAGCTGCACCAGATTGTGTACACTCCAGTTTTAGTAAATAACCCCATGGTGAGGTAGCATAATTAGGTACCATCTATTTATTTGCATAACTCATGTACTAAAGCCCACTGGAATAAATTGATGGTATAAAAGTCCTCTTAATTCCTGATTTTTTTTCCCTTTATCTGGTCCCCTAGGATACAAACTACTTGAGACACTTTGTCCCATCTTTCTATGTGATGTAGAAGCCAAGATCTGGAGTTTGACACTCTTTGGGTGGCAGCTGGCAGGTTATGTAACCTGGAAGTGTCTTAAAGCTTTCTGACAGACCTGCTGCAAGATTTCCTTCCTGTGGTTTAAAGGCCATTCAGTTGATAATGACTTTACAAGACAATTGTTGTCTCTGATTTCCTAATTTATTATTATGAACAACCCACAGTGAATAGTGATGTTTGTTCTCTATTTTTAATGGTCAGGGCAGAAGTGATGTGGAACTGTAAATACTGATATAGCGCAATATTTCTTTTTAGATGATTTTAGGGAAAACAAAACAATATATAAACAGCAGCAGTATGTCCACCAAACTGATGAATAATTCTGTATTAAGTTTTTTCCTTTTGATATTTTTCCCAGAAACATATAGAATAATCATGTCTTTACATCTTTCCCAGTGTATTTTCTTGTAATGTTATATTTTTTGTTTTTTTAGACTGCAGTGGAACCTGCTACAGTGTCTTCTCCAAAGCGGACACAAAGAACAGTTAAGAGTGACTCTTCAGCACAGAACAGTGCTAGGAATAGTCAAGATCAGGAAGACAACTCTACAGTAACAACTGGCATCCCCTCCAAGAATGATTCTAGAAAGGGTCCGTCTCAGGTGTTCACTCGCTGTAGACATAGGAGTGGTCAATCAGATGCAGATGTCTCAGAAGCAGAATCTAATACATCCACTTCTTCCACAAGAGTTACACGAAGTAGACAAATTCTTGGAAGCATAACAGACTCTGCTAGGAAACTGAGGAGTCACTTATCTACTGTTATAACTGAGCCTATCTTGGAGTCTAAAGAAGATGAGGAATTATCAGACGCTGAATCAAACTACTCTGTTTCTACAAGGGCTAGCAGGAGGACACGCGCAAGTGCTGCACGCTCAACTAGAGCAAGAAGTAGGAAGTCTGCTTTGCTTACTGAACCTGATCATTCTGATGCCGAATCAAACTGCTCTTCTGTTTCAGAGTTGCAAAATACTGCCATCAGATCTAGAAGAACATCTGAAGCAACCCGTCCACTCTCCACTAATAGTGAATCTCAGAAAGAAGAAATATCTGAAGCAGAGTCTTGCAGTTCAGAATTTGTTTCGCAAACACAGGCCAGACGTTTCAGTAGGAGAATTCAGAGTAAATCACAGGCAGGTGTTGCTAAGAGTGTCAGTGAAACTAGCAGTCAAGAGCAAGATTCGCCACGAAAACAAAGATATAGTTTACGTGGAGTAAAAGTTATACAGCCTTTGTCCTCTTTGCAAGAGCAGAACATCTTGTCCACTTCTCGTAGGAGTTTGAGAAATCGCATTGTAAGTGAATGCAGTGATGTTATAGTACTTTCAGACAGTGGCTCTCAGAGTAAGGGGTCCTCAGACAAAGTTGCACTTGTGGACCAAGCAAAAGATGGAGAATCTTTGGAAAAACAAAAACCTAACTTGTCTGTAGAAGAGAGTTCAATACTGGATCAAAAATTACCTGAAACATCAACAAATGATGCAGCAGATGAAACTATTGATCTTACAGAAGAGATGGATGAGCCGCAACTTGAAGAGAAAGATCAAGGCAAAGCTGGGGATGATGTCAGCAGTGAGAGAGCTGATATTACAAATGAAGATTTTTCAAATCTAAATACAGAGACCCAAAGTGGACCATCTAATATCGCTGAACCTGTGGAAATATCTTTGCTGCTTGATAGTGATGAAGAATCAGACAACAGTGAGGAAGAAACTGATACAGAAATGGTGAATGATGAGGACCAGGAAGAACTAGAAGAGAACCATGAAGATCTTGTGAAAACAAAAAAGCTCGAAAAAACTTCAACTGAGCAATTGCAAGATGTGGTAGACAATGGACTTTTTATTATTGATACGACTCCAGGGCTGGACTCCAGTAAAAAATATTATGTAGACGACAAAGCATTTGAGAGAGAGCAAAGTGAAAAGGAGGAATTGTCTGAGTCTGAGGAGGAGCTACCTGAGCCTGATGAGGAGGAGGAAGATTTTATGGATGAAGAGGTGGATGATGGTGTTAATGAAGAAGAAGAATTATTAAACAGACCTAAGAGAGGCTTGTAAGGGTTTTTTTTTTTTTGTACTTGCTACCCACTGTACAAATGTCATACATAGATTATGTATTGTCACTTATGAATTGTTACTAACGAAAACTCTCTTGACGTGATCCTGTCTAGAGAGAAGTACAGGGTCTGCCATTCTTGACTTCCTTAAAAAGCTTGTGTCCTTGCTGTGCCTGGCATTGAAGCAGTTGTATAATCACAAAAGCCATAGAACTAGCCTTCAGGATTCCTTTACAATGAGGTTTCATTTACGCTTGTTAGTGGCAGGTATTCTACAGCCTTCCAGGTGTGTAGTGTACAAATTGAGTAAAAGATTCACTTTAAAGATATATGCCCTCCAAATCGTGCCCCACCAACCCCATCCATACTTACCGGGGATGAATCACTGTTTCCATTACCGATATTCAACCATTTAGAGGATCCAGCATTTTCCCGCTGAAATCTTCTGGCTCTCTACCATCTCTTGGTCTTGCCCTGCCATATTAATCGTCAAGAGGCCTGCCAGCTCTTTCTGGTTTAGCCAGCACACCTGTTGATGCAGCGGTGGCCTGCCCCCCTCCACCTTTGTGAAGGAAGTGCTTTGCCTACTGGGATTTATGATGTGCATATCCTAATAGGCAGAGGTAGGACAGTGCACTTTATTCTCCTAGGCGAATGACATGCAGGGGGACGCACTTTTCTCTTTAAAAAAAAAAAAATAAAAAAAAAACACAGCCCTCTTAAGAGGGGAGGAAGGTAGATAGGATGGAAGTCCTTCAGGGTGAAGATCCGCTTTAAAGTTAAGCTGGCCATACATGGATTGAAATTTGGCCAGTTCAGTAGGGGCCGGAGGAATTTTGATGCATGTATGGGCATTGTGGTTTGTACAGAAGGCAGTCTACCGATCTGCTTCTGTACAACCGCCCTGCTGGAAAATGTCCTCCCGATCAACAATGTAGCACTGATCTATGTATTCTGATAGCAGGGAAGTCTCTCTGCTCTCAGAATAGCAATGACCAGTAGAGAGGATTCCCCCACCCACCTGGAATGTGTGGATGGGGAAATTGGTTCTATTTTTTCTTTTTTTCATTCAACCTGCTGGTTGAAGGAGAAAACTTACCCATCTATAGCCAGTCTTGTAAAAGACCTTTGATCTGCTTGTTGGGAACAGGAGCATCACGGCGTTTGTGTGTTTGGGGGAGGGGTTGACTTCATACGTTTTATACTAATTACCATGCTTTGCTGCTAAGGTTTTCTGCAAATATTGGATATGTAATTTTCATTGCCATTGACCACAGATGACACTGTTTAAAAAAACAAAAAAAAAAACCCCCAAATACTCCGTTTTTTTTTTTTCCAGTGAATTGTCTACAAGTATTGACACAGGACTGAATATTAAGGAGCTGGGTGGCTTATATATTAACTTTGATGCAGAAAAGCCAAATCCTGGTTCAAGCCTGCAAAACAGAATGAAAAAAGAAAGTAAAAAGAAAGATGAGGTAAGATGATATATTTGCGCACACACAGTGCATTGTTAAAAATTATAATGAAAGTAAAAGATGTTTTACATTTTGTGCATTTGTCAGCCTATCGTTAAAACTCAGCCGAGTCTTATTTGTATCACAACCGTATGTCCTTTGAGAATATTTAGAAAGGTTATTCAGGTATGCAAATGATCATGGGTTATGTTAAAGTGGAACTTGTAAGTTAAAAACAAAACAATTGCTAAATTGCATGTTTTTTACTTTCAATAAGGTTTTTATTAACACAAATTGGAGTGAACGGACAGAAATAAGTAATGCACAATGGTGGAAACAGCATCATGTCAGCAAAGTTTTAACATTGGGAACAATCATAAAAATACAGATTGAAATGGAATATGCCACCGTTTACATAGTTTAAGTCAGACTAACAATATCTCAATCTGAAACTGATAATTCAAACCAATATCTATATCACAGAAAACAATATGCAAGCTTATTGTGTGTGGGGGGAAAGAAAAGGGAAAAAAATTAATAAAAAAGAAGAGGGGGAAGAGGGAAAGAAGTTGATAGAGGGGAAAGGAATTGGAAAGGGGGGTAAAGAAATTTGCAGGACAAAGGGGGTTTTGGATATTTCTAGTCCCTAAAGAAGAAAAGGGATAAATAGTAAGGATGTAATAAGGTAAGGAGCAATGATGTAAGGTTATATCCCCTCAAGTTGTGTGTCATGGCCTACCGTAATGGGTGTACTCCTGTGAGAGCATGAAGAGAAACCAAGGGTTCCAGGTCTTGCGAAACCGATCACTAGCCACCGTCTCCTTCATGGCATATACCGAGTCTACTTTAAGGAACCAATCTCTTAACAGACGGTACGTGCGTGCATTTCCAGTTTCATGGGATTTGGCAGCATTAAGTAAATGTTTTTTAAATGTTTGGTAAGTGACCTTTTGTATTTTTTGAAGGAGCAGTTGAACATGTGAAGGAGACAACATTCTGGTGTGAGAAGTATAATAGTCTCCATTGTATGAGGATTAATTTGCGTATGTCAGCCCAAAAAGGAGCTATTAAAGAACAGTTCCACCAGCTATGCATTAAGGTTCCCTTCTCATGTCCACATCTCCAGCAAGGATCAGACACCTGTGGGTACCAACCATGAATCTTGGCTGGAGTAGCATACCATCTTGTAAGAAGTTTATATGGGTTTTCTTGAGTGCGTGTGCATAAGGAACGTTTGTGCGCAAAAACAGATGCTTTTTGCCATAGGTCATCGGGTATTACCATGTGTAGGTTGTACTCCCATTGAGATCGTACGTTATCTGTCTCCTGTGGAGTTTCCAATTGGAGCCACGAATACGCCACCGAGGTAACTCTTTGGAGTTTCTCTCCTCTCCAGCAATATTTCTCAAACAGGGTTGTTTGGCGAGAGAACAATTTCTTATGTCTGGTATTCACCAGGTAATTCCGTATTTGGAGGTGTAACCAAAATGGCAACTCTCCCTCTCCAAGAGTTAATTGTAACTCAGATCAGGACTTGAATATTCCAGAATGAAAACAATCCTTTGCAAGCAGTGGCTCCCCATCAGTATGGCACAGAGTAGGTCTTGAAGAGAACCCCGGTGGAAATTCTGGGTTTAGTGTATGCGGGATCAGGGCACGGGGTGAAGATGATAGATTGTAGGGTAGTGCTATTTGGTGAAAGGCCTCCAAAGTAGCTCCAGTTGTTGGATGTTTTTTAAGTTCAGTTAGGAGTCTGGAATTTAGGATCCAGGGAGAATATTTCAACGGAAGGGTGGTGAAGGAATGTTCAAGTGTTACCCAATCTTTGTTGGCAATTCCAGTCTATAATCCGGACCATGTGGGTGGCATGGTAATAGTTTTTGAAGTTTGGGAGTCCTATACTCCCTGAGATCCTATTCTCAGGATCTTCAAGAGGGGGCACAAGGCATGTCTATTGTTGAGAGTAATGGGAGACAAATCCTTTAAGCAGTGTGATGGTTTTGCCATTAAAAGTAATTGGCTCATTCAGCCTGGCTTTTGTCAAGATCTCTTCTTTAAGCTTAGTCTGGCAAACCGCATATCACATCTCTGTGGCGCGTCTCCTGGACCCCTCTGTCTTTAATGCTCTGTGAGCCCGGTCAAATTCAATGGGGAAGTCTTCTGACCTTTCTAATAAATTATTGAAGACCTGTTGTAAAGCTTGTAGTAGTTGATTGGCCAGAACTGATTCCGGTATCCCTCTTACTCTGATGTTATTTCTCCTGCCTCTGCTATGTCCTCAAGGTGCCTGTCAATGGCGATAAGGTGGCGGGCTTGCGATTCAGTGGTTGTTTCCAGTCTAGATATGGTTTTATCTCTCCTCCTCCCATCATATTCAGTAGTGGCTGGTTTCTCAGTCAGAACCAAGAAATCTGCTTTCAGGTCAGTAATGGCGGCCGAGAGAGTGTTTTTAAGGACAGCTGCTATAGCGTTCATGGTGGAGTATGTAAGAGGTATGTGATCGGCATCTCTTACTGTATCCTCCGAAACTGAGAGAGACTATTCACTGAAGTTATCATCCGCGTGGGCCAGCACCATCTTGCCAGCCTCCACGCTGGATCAATGTGGTTGAGACTTCTGAGTCCAAGCCACGCCCCATTAATTTGCATGGTTTTTAATACAGAAGAGACATACTGGTGGAAATTTACTAAAACTGTTGCACTTTGACCGGAAGCTAAATTATCTACCTAGAGTGCTCAATAGCGCCCTGGTAGTTCCTTAACTACAAGTTGACAGCCGCAAAGGTTTAGAACACTGAATGAATGATGCGGCCTAGCAGGCAGAGCCCCGCACGTCTGCCTTTTTTTTTTGTTATATATATTGTGACGGGGGAGGGATCCCCCAGTGGATGTCAAAACGGGGTATCGGGGGGGGGGGGGGGGGTGGGAAGGGGCTGCATCTGAATATGGGTGTAACATATTACCAAAGTTAAATGTATCCTTTAAATCAATGGTCTGCCATCATGGAACACATGGTACTGTGTTGATGAACTACAATAATGTGAGTTTCACCTTAGTTTCTTACTGCATTTTGTTCAGCTTCAGTTGAATTTTGGTGTTTTATCAACAGCACATTCACCAGTGGAGTCAATAAACGTTGTCTTATGTCTATTCAGGATAATAATCAAAACTCACAGTACACATAAGTGACTGAATGGACATGGATGAGTTGTGGTTAAAAGGGAGCTATAACATTTTTTTGGTCATTGTTATATTTTTGTTATATATATTTTTTCATTGAAAAAAAAAAATCCCTGCACATAGTGTACTAAATCTTTAGCTGCTGCATCCAATCTGAATACAAGATGTGCTAATGTACAATATTTAGAAAAGGTGTTCTGCCCCTTTTAAATATCAAATCGTTCCATAGCCTAAAGTGTCACTAAACCCACAACAGTAAAAATCAGTCTATTTATGCAATAAAGCTTGTTATACTCACTGTGGAACCTAAGGGGTTAATCTTCCGCATCGTGTAAAAAACACGGTTTGATCCTGTTTTCTCTGATACCCCATTTTTGTTCCCAATCCATCTGCTTATAGTACAGATCTCTAGGAGTCACGCTGCACATGCTCAGTTTAGTGTGTATTGCTAGAAAGTTTTCTTTTCTTTGGGAGGGTGCATGTGATCAGCACAGGGCCAATCAGCACTATTCAGACTAAGGGTCAGGTGTTGTGCATCTTCATGGGGCAGTCAAAGAATGAAAACTCCTCCTACAGGCTTTAACCAGTCCTCAGCTGGACACTGATAGAAGTCACAAGACTGCTCTAACTGCTGATGAGAAAGGGTATTTAGCCGTTTATATTTACTAAAATAATTGCATCTCTGTACTGTGGGAGACCAGATATAGTGAATGCAGGGTCCTGGGTTTAGCAACACCTTAATGTTATTGCAGCAAGTGAAGGCAGTAAAAAACCACAATCCCTCACTCATACAGCAATTGTATAAAATCCAGTAAAATGATGTGTAATATAAACAGTCGCATTTGAATGAAATGTTGCCAAGCATAAAAATTGTTTTTAATTGGTGAATAAATACCAGTCCTCAAAGAAATGTTCTTAGACAGCTGCAAACAACTTCAATGCAGCTCAAAACAGTGACTGTCAAATCCAAAGTGACATTCAGTGAAATGCTAATCTATGTGGAAAAAAACCTGGAAATTTGTGTTGCGCTGCTCTTAACCCAGCATAGTGCTTCCATTGATGCTAAAACAAACCGTGAAGTTTAATCACTAAAATGTGAACAAATAATGCAAAATTCAATACTTCAATGAATGTTCCACCTAAAACTGAAAGTGCAACAAATAAGCGTCTGTAATCATACATCCTCATCACCAGTGAAGTAGCACATAGATCATACACTAAATATGTGCTCCACCCACTGTTAGTAATGTGTATTGGGACTCGTCATTTTTGTTTCGTGTAGGAGAAATATTCTTTACTTCAATTTATTGCTATAGTTCAGATTCAGGTGGAGGACATTGCTATTATCTGAAACGAATACCCTTGCATTTCTTTCATCTATGTTCTTGATTCAGAAAATCTGCTGTATGTCAAAGTTTTACAGAATTAAAGTATATGTAAACCCTCACCTTGTAAAATGACCCATGCAGTTTAAAATAAAAATGAAAGGCAAAACGTGTGTATAGCTATAAAAATACATTTTAAATACCTCCCTCTCCCCCCATGTTTTATAAGTGATCATATACCCTCTATGCTCCTTATGCAGCTGAGAACAGAGAGCTGGGGTAGGAGAAACAGCAGCACACTGAGCTTCCCTGGGAATGGCAGTGCAGTGGCGCTTGTAAGCAGAAGTCTGATCATTGGAGGAGAGCACACTGAGTTCACAGCACAGCTACATAACGGACCATGCTTTGCTCTCATACCTAGCGTGGTCAGTTTTTAATAAGAAAGCAGAGGGACTGGCAGGAGCACCAGGTATTTCACACAAAGGAAGCAATACAAAGAGAACAGGATACGTTTTCATACAAGTACATGGTACAGCAGGCACATCAGAAATAAGAAATTTTGAGTTTACATTCACATTAAAAACTGTTTTATGTAACAATTTATCTGTATCAGATGCATCCCTTTTTTTTCTCTATTTCAGCTTCTAAAGAAAAGTATAATAACTCCTGACTTTGAGAAGAGAGAATCTGCCCCTCCCTATAGAGAGTCTTTGAGAAAGCTGAAAAAACAGAGAAAAGTAAGTAACTTTTATACAGGTAATCTTTATTGAGTCATCCTATCTGTGTTATTATTATTATACAGTATTTAGTGTTCTTACATAGTTGTGATTGAGGCTGCTGTGGCTCTAAATTGATGGATATTTGTTTTATAGGCGGAACGTGAGAAATCAACTGGACAGGGCTGGTTTGACATGAAGGCTCCAGAATTGACAGAAGAACTGAAGAATGATCTAAAGGCTTTGAAAATGAGATCAGCCATGGACCCCAAACGCTTCTACAAAAAGAATGATAGAGAGGGCTTCCCAAAATATTTCCAGGTGAAGATGCAAGACTTAGTACACAGGGCAAAGTCTTTCATTTTTTTTTCTTTAAATAAAAAAAAAGTAGATGGTGCCTGGTTATATGAGGCAGGCTGCCAGTACATTTGGGTTTGTATGTTAGGCTGTGTGGAGTAATGCTTTTGGTTTCTGTCCTAGGTTGGAACTGTGGTGGACAATCCCTTAGACTATTACCATTCTCGAATTCCCAAAAAGCAGCGAAAGAGGACAATTGTGGAGGAACTTCTTGTGGATTCTGAGTTCAGAAGGTAATACTCTATAAAATGTTGGTGGATGTAGATGAGCATCAGAGTTAATGAATTAAATCACCAGCTGTGCTTCATTCAGTAATCAGATTTACAAATGCAAGACAGGTTATGTCATCCACTCTCTAGAAATGGCTCAGAAGGAGCTTTTATGTAGTCACAACTAAAGATATGCAATGTTTTAGAATTGCACGGGATCAACTGCTTGATGAAGGGGACCTTGTTTGGCCCTAAGTGTTCATTTTATTTTACTGTGTCAAATAAAAAAAGCTCTTGCTGAGCAAATTCTCACAGGCAAACAACACAGCTTGTTGTTGGGTCCAAAGTTGAAAGTTGACTCCTGATTCCTTCAACTTTTCTTGCTTTATGAGAACATAAATCTGTCCTTTGCTGCTATTTGTAGCCTTTTAAAATTGGTGTGTATGCTGGTACAGGACTGGACAAAGCCAAAGAATAAGGATATCTGTGCACAAAAAAAAATGCTGCTGCTATTTCTATCTTGTCCATTGAGGGACACAACAAGCATTTCACATTTTGGGTTATTTTGCCACCTACAGGAGGACTGGACACTGGCAAACAAGAAAACTAGGCCAGCCCAGGATAACCCAGGATAACCCGTTCTGCAAGTTTTTTTTTTTTTTTTTTTTTTTTCTCAATTAAGAGTCTTTATAAACATCACTGCTGGAGCCTTGTTTCATTGATTTCAGGTATCTGGTGTGGCCCTCCTCAGCTTGGATTTCAGAGTGCCAGTTCTGGACTTAACTGGACTGGATGTCGCAAGGATAGCATGAAAGTGACTGACACTAAGTTCCGTGTAGGGTGCTTTCCAGACTCTGTTCTGGTAAATGTTAGCTGCAGAACGCTTTCCAGTCCAGAGCCGCTGTCATTGCTTTCAGTGCTTTTCCCATGTCTGAAGACTCCCTGTGGCTTAGTTTACACCTGTGCTGCTCTATCCACAGTGATACAGATGAGGCTGACAGGCATTCAAGAGGCGATACTGCTGCCTCCCAAATGCCTGTTGGTTTTTGGGTGGTAAAACGCATCCTATTTTTACCACCCTTGATTGCTAGTGTAAAAAAACTGGTGGCCATCTGCAAGATACCGTTTTTTTTTTTTCTTCTTTTTTTTTTTTTTTTTTTTTTGGGGAATCCTGAGTGGTCTTTGTAAGGTGGCACTATCATCTTCCACCATTTCTAGGTGGCTCAGGCAGCCCATCATGACCAAGCTTAAATCAAGAATCGGGTTCCACCCTTTTCTGTTGGGGCTTCCTCTGCTACTTCCGTGGGTGTTTTTTATTTATTTATTTTTTATTATGAAGCATCTGTTTCTCAGATTTGCAAGGTTTTTGTTCACATGCACCAGGTGCATGTTGAGGCTTCATCTGATCTGCAGGCAGTTACCAGTTTTCTGTTTTCTTGGGCCTGTTAGCATTTGTTTGCTGTGCTTCCCATCTGGACTGCTTTTGGATATCCTGAAGATTAAAGCCTTCTGGGTACAAAGAGTGCACAAATTCTGTTTTTGTAATGTCAATGGGTGCAAATGTTTCAGGTGAGAGTACTAATGTGCTGAATCACAAGCCAACATTTTTCTGAACTCTTAGTGGTGAGGCTTCCTTGTAAATGTATGTGAATTAACCTCATTCCACAAGTCCTTATTACTGTGGTACTATTAAAGCTGTATTCTTTGATATTTCAAACTTGAAGGATCCATCCATAGTGTAACACCTTCAGTTGCCTTTTTAATAGCTGCCTAATGTCTCTATATTTTTTTTGTTTTATTACTAGATTTATGTAAACCAAAGGGTAGCTGTAAGTCATGTTTGAGTTATGCAATTAATTAGGTACTCAAGGTGGTCACCATTGGCATCTAGACACGTTTGATTTCGGCAAACTACTGCATGAACAACTTTGATTAGAGTGTCCACAGGAATTGTTCTGCATGATTTTTCAATTTCTTCCCGTAGTGCAGTCAGTGTAGGTGGTTTTCTACGTACACCACATCCTTTACCGTTCCCTACGGGTGTTAAGTCTGGGGGACATGGAGGGAATTCAACAGCACTTGTACCCATTGTTTAAATGTGCTGAGCATGTAAACTTGCACATCACACACAGTGCCATCAGTTTCAAACTTATAACAAAATTTTTGCGATTGTTTCAAATTTACAATACCACATCAAAATGGTCTTGCATTACTCGAAAGTCTAGTGCACCTCTGCCATTTACCTTGATTCTCTCCTGTTGGTCACATGACATCAACAATGGTGCGACTACTGACCTCTTTAGAGGAAAATGTAATACTACACATTGCTGCCATAATTCAAGTTGGGTTTTAAAAAAGGGCATAGATAACTGATGAAGTGGGTTTTTATGGGCCCGTGTGTGTGTGTGTGTGTGTGTGTGTGTGTGTGTGTGTGTGTGTGTGTGTGTGTGTGTGTACACACACTCACTCACTATATTGCCAAAAGTATTGGGACTCCTGCCTTTTACATGCACATGAACTTTAATGGCATCCCAGTCTTAGTCCAGAGAACTTAGGAGTGTGTCTATGGGAATGTTTGACCATTCTTCCAGAAGTGCATTTGTGAGGTCAGGCACTGATGTCGGATGAGAAGGCCTGGCTTGCAGTCTGCACTCTAATTCATCCCAAAGGTGTTCTATCAGGTTGTGATCAGGACTCTGTCAAGTTACTCCACCCCAAACTTGCTCATCCGTGTCTTTATGGACCTTGCTTTGTGCACTGGTGCTCAGTCATGTTGGAACAGGAAGGGGCCATCTTCAAACTCTTCCCACAAAGTTGGGAGCATAAAATTGTCCACAATGTCTTGGTATGCCAACTCCTTAAGAATTCCCTTTACTGGAACTAAGGGGCCAAGCCCCAAACCATAATCTCCCAGCCACCAAACTTTACACTTGGCACAATGCAGTCAGGCAAGTACCATTCTTCTGGCAGCTGCCAACCCAGACACTTCTATCAGATTTCTGACAAAGAAGCATGATTAGTTACTCCAGAGAACACGTCTCCACTGCTCTAGAGTCCAGTGGCGGTGTGCTTTACACCACTGCATCCTATGCTTTGCATTGCACTTGATGATGTAAGGCTTGAATGCAGCTGCTCAGCCATGGAAACCCATTTCATGAAGCTCTCTACGCACTGTTGTGTGCTAATCTGAAAGCCTCACAAAATTTGAAGGTCTTTAGCTATTGACTCTGCAGACTGTTGGCGATTTGTGTGCACTTCAGCATGCGCTGACCCCGCTCTGTCATTTTACGTGGCCTACCACTTGGTGGCTGAGTTACTGCTGTTCCCAGTTGCTTCCACTTTGTTATATTATCACTAACAGTTGACCGTGGAATATTTATTAGCAAGGAAATTTCATGGATGGACTTATTGCACAGGTGGCAACGTATCACGGTACCGTGCTTAAATTCACTGAGCTTCCGAGAGCGACCCATTCTTACACAAATGTTTGTAGAAGCAGTCTGCATGCTAGGTGCTTGAATTTTATACACCTGTGGCCTTGGAGGTGATTTGGAACACTTGAATTCAATGATTTGGAGGGGTGTCCCAACACTTTTGGCAAGTGTGTGTGTATATCTATATATAAATAAAATGTATTTAGGTATGCAAACTAATAATTTATTGTGTTAACCAACACATGCTAAGTCTGCTAAATATGGCCAGGGCATCTAGCCCATCGATGACCTCCTTGGACAAAAGGATTGAGCTGAAGTGTGAACTCTGGTGGTGCTAAATAGATATAAACCAGCAGACAAGCAAAACTGAACCTCCCTAGTTTTTGACAGAATTGGTTTGCACGTCATACTTTTACACTGTATTCCTACTGTTTATCCTTTTCAACATGAAATTTTGTCCATTCTAGATACAATAAAAAGAAGTACCAGGAGATCATGGCAGAAAAGGCTGCCCATGCTGAAGGCAAGAAGAACCGTAAAAAGAAGAAATTCCGGACATAATTTCGAACATCGTTCCATTTTTTGTTTTATTCTAAAACTAGGAATGCATTGACCTGTAGAGCACATTGTGGTATATTGTCTTAAACATCAGTGAGAAGAGAGCTATGATTCACCAAATTGCTGAGCGAGAGATCACAAGCCTAAGTTTCATTAGGTTTTGTACATAAGTGCCTGTGAGAGACCTATTTTTAAAAGGTTGCTGAGGCAATTCACAGCAAACATGGGTAAAACAAAAAAAAATATTTGATGAAATTATGTGCAATAAAAGCCCTTAAATGGGGTTGTAATTGATTGTTGTAATTGCATCTTTTTGATATACATATAAATACAATATAACACACCAATTGAATCATTATACGTACAAGTACCCATTCTATGAAAACAAATTGTCATCCGAAATACATTCAGAGAAAAAAAGCCTAGAAAAGCTAGTTGAATAATAAATACAGGTATTATGGTATTCTGGTCCAACTTACATACTGGAAATAAATGTTTTCTTTTGGAAACCTGCATTATTGGTAGTTTTCTTTTGTGTTGGCCTTTCTTATATATAAAGTGTAGGTTCACCTTCAACAACATTTTCAGAAAATCCCTCTGTTATTCCATATCTTCTGAATAGAACATTGCCAAGTTTCTCATTTTTCCAGTGCTTCACCACCTCCTATTGAGCATGCAGTTCTGGGGGAATCTTCCTGCAAGCAACGCTACCCCCTCAGTCCTCTCCATTCTCCCATTTGCAGGATAGGCGGAACAATGCAATTGTGCACCCCTATTATTTGGGGTGTTCAAGCTGTGTACTCTCACCCTCTCTAGCTGCAATGGCTGAGCTCAGTTGGAGATGGAGAGAGTGCACTGCGCAAGAGTGTAGTTTGAGTGCTGATTGTAGTGTCCAGTCAATCCTACAAATGGCAGGACAGAGGGGAAATAGATGGGCTTGCTTTTTTTCTTTTTGGGGTCAAATCTCCTCCACAACTTCATGTGTAGTGGCAGGCAGGTACAGCATTTGAAAAAGATGTGATCTGTACTATTCAAAAGATATGGAATTGAAAAGGGGGCTTTTTGGAAAATGTTGCTCAAGGTCAACTTACATTTAAATTTTTAATAGTGTGAAAAATTACCCTGCTGTTTTTTTGTTTTGTAGCAAAGGGTGTATTGTATAAGGTACCGTCAAATTCAACTGTCTATTGATTTACATAAACTTACCTTTTTAATACAGTATGGCCGAAATTGTTGGCACCTTGTTTCTTTCTGAAAATCAAGTATTTCACAAATATTGCATTAAAAAGTTTTGCATGTTTATTCCTTTGGATAGCTGTATAAAGACGCCCAACACTTATATGCTAAGGAGAAGTATAGCCAAAGCTTTTTTTTTTTTAATATTTGTATTTCTCCTATGGATCACAGAGGTGTAACTCATTCTGTACTCTTGTGACCTGTTTTCAGCAGACAGCAGGTTAAAGCCTGCTGTTGGCTTGACATCACAGAGCTGGTGCTGGCCCAAAAGATCCCGACTGTTTGGTCGGGATCCACCCAGATGTCTGGACTGGAAGCTGGCTCAGCCTCTCAGCGAACCTGCTGAGAGCCTGAGCCAGCTGCTCCCACCCCCTCCACAGCTCAATGCCCTCAAATATTATCTAAATACTGGAGGCTGTGTACAGAATTTTTACTAGGGTCTTTGTGTGTGTTTTCCAGATCTGTGCAGCAATCCAGCATGAAACTTGCTGTGCTCCCTACAGGCAGCTTGTGGTGGCTGGGTCCTCTATAGTTATGTAATATTTAAGTGAAAGTTTCCACTGTTTTAGCTTTAAAGTTAATGGGAATGTGTTATGTTTTTATGTATATTTTCAGATGTTTACGGCTGCCATAATTTTAAATGTATTTTAGGTAAATATATATTTTTTTACATTTAATTTTTCTTGCTAGTTGGTAAAGCTTTTCATAGTTGCTTTGTTGAAACTATTTAAAACTCAGTAGCTCTTGTTTTATTGTATACAACTGAATGGGTCTAAGCAGTGACTGAATCCCTAATGTGAAGTTCATTAGCTGCTCTGTTAGTAAACTGTGAACAAGCGACCAAAAGAAGGGTAGCACCTTCCCGTGCATCCTTGTGCCTCTTCTGCTCGATTTATACAAATTAAAGTCTGAGCCTGAAACCTACCACAGCCCCCTTTCCATTCTGCCATTCCTCCTCTACGACTGTAAAAAGTCTGAGCCTGAAATCTCCAGCTGCCAGCTAGTTACCAGGAAAATACTAGAGTAGTAGCTTGACAGCTTATGATGTACAAATGACAGCAGCTAGTGAGAAGGCTTCTGTCATTCACCAGAACACAAGCTGACCATCACACCACAAGTCAACAGCTACTACACTAGCCTGGCTTGGACTCTCTGATGTGCTGCATGTGCATATGGTGACAAGGAACTTGTGGTTGGAAGAAGGGGTGAGCTGCTGTTGCCCCTGTCCAGTTATTGGTGAGGGGCAAGGAGGTGGCTCATCGTTTTGGCTTAACTGCAGACATGAAACTTAGGTCACTATTACAGAGAAAAGGGGAGAGCGAGACATAAACAATGGTCTCAACCCTTCATAGTGGATTTTACTGGTGCCACACCCTTTAAATGAAAAGACACTGAAAAATGAGAACCTAACAAAAGAAACTACGGGGGCTTTAGATTTGTCACCATGCCCACAAAACTCCATACACAAATTCCAAAAAAGTATAACTTTATTGGACATCATTAAAATTGCAATTGAAGTAGAAAATTTGAGCATAAACATAGCTCAATATATAAAAACATGTAATCACTGCATATTGTGACTATGCAGAACATCAGGCTTGTTACAAAATACTTTAAAGGGTTCCCATACACAGGACAGTGCGTGTATGTACAGCTCGTTTGTAAAGTCTTTTAAAATTTTTCTCCAATGCATTTCACAGGACAAAAACCTTCCTTGAGGAGATTTAGCACAGTTCTAAAATTATAAACAAAGCCATACATATATACAGAAACCAAAACCGCCCATCGCCACAATATTTAGATTTTAGCAGATGATGGGATCTGATTTTTTTTTTTTCCCTTATATGAAGCAGCCAAGGAGCCATGACCATATGAATCCCAAAAGAGTCCCTTCAATCAACAGTTGCAAAAAAGGAAAAGAGATATGGGTCACTAGATATTAGGATTGAGCCCATTCTGCCCAAAAAAATAATAATAATAATAATATATATATATATATATATATATATATATAGATAGTCATCAAGAAGGGGATGGGGGGGCAGAGAGGAGAGACCACCTTGCCCCTTGCAAGTATAAGGTTAACATTGGGGAGTGGGGGTGTAGTTTGGAAATTTATTTGATGCAGTAATAACTTAGATTAGTGGGTAACCTTATACTTACAAGGGATTGAGGTGGTCTCTCCCCCCCCCCCCCCCCCCCCCCCTTGATGACTATTTGTATATACAGTGGGAAAATAATTATTTGAACCCCTGCAGATTTTATACGTTTGCCCACTTACAAAGAAATGAGGGGTCTATAATTTTTTTTATCATAGCTGTATAGAGACAGAATATATACCAAAAATCCAGAGAAAAACGGATACAAATGTTATAAATTGAGTTGCAGTTCCGTGAGTAAAATAAGTATTTGATCCAACCAACAATAATTCTGGCTCCTACAGAATGTGCTCTTGTGCTATACAGATTAGTCCTGTCAATTTAAGAAGGTGCTCCTAACAAGACACCTGTCCACAGAATCTTTCTTCCATTCAAACCTCACCATCACCAAAGAGCTGTCAAAGGACGCCAGGGACCAGATTATAGACCTGCACAAGGCTGGAATGGGCTACAAGACCATTAGCAAGAAGCTTGGTGAGGAGACAACTGTTGGAGCGATAATGCGCAAATGGAATAAACACAAAATAAGCATCAATTGTCCTCAGTCTGGAGCTCCATGCAATATTTTGACTCATGGGATAAGGATGATCATGAGAAAAGTGAGGGATCAGCCCAGAACTACATGGGAGGAGCTTGTGAATGATCTCAAGGCAGTTGGGACCACAGTCACCAAACAAACCACTGGTAACATAATATGCCACCATGCATTGAAATCCTGCAGTGCCCGCAAGGTCCCTCTCCTCAAGAACGCACATGTACAGGTCCATCTGAAGTCTTCCAATGGACATCTAAACGATTCAGAGAAGGAGAAAGTGCTGTGGTCCGATGAGATCAAAATCTCATTTTGCAATGAAAATTTAGGTCATTAAAGTTAGCTGTGCAGTGTGGCATGACTATGTAAATCTCAAGACTGGATGCACAAACATACAGATGTTTTGTTAGGCTGCAGTATTTGCTTTATAGGCAGTGTGTTTAACTGTTTGTTTGCCTCAGCTTGAACTCAGAACAATTGTGCTGAATAGATGTAACCACTTACACTACCAATAAATCCAATACTTACTGTCTTTATTATTCAGATAACCTAGACATCAAAACCATATGTAAAATCATTTAACACAAAACTGTACACCATGAATGCCAATTTCAAGGTTTCACAGAACAATCATACCTGTATATTGTAAGTACCGCCTTTATATCTCAGTTCATGTAAAGGTTGTGCTGCCTTAAACCTGAGCAAAAAAGTATACATTTTTTTAAAAATGGTGTGAATGCAGAAAAAAAAATGATGTAATACAGATCGTGGGTTGGAGTATATAGCAGTAAAGAAATCTTCAGTCATTCACCAGAAAAAAAAAAAAGATGTATAGCTACTCTTAAGTGGAAAAACCTGTTGAACTTCCACCAACTATTAATCTTTTTTGTCCATCTATAAAAAGATGGATGTCCATTATATACACTTCACAGGGAGGGAATTTGCAGCACTTGTAAAAGATGACTCCTCATGATAATGGCCTTAGTAATAACAAAACCTGGTTAGCTGTGTATAATCCATCCAGGGCCACATGGCAGGTGCTCCTCCTATTCATAGAAGAGAACTTGCCTAAAAGTGTGGAAATTACACATGATTCTTACAAACACTCTGATCAGTCTGTAAATTTATCTTCAAATCACATCTACTATTTGCCTGAGTTCGCACTGATGCAGTGCTGAATTTGCAGCATTTTCTGTGCGAATTCCGCACCGCATCACAATCGCATCCCGTTCATGCGAACCGCTGCGGGTGTGCATGTTAAGTTAACAACACCCCGAAATCGGTCCACAAAACGCGAAGCGATGTGCAGAATCAGATCGCATCGGTGTGAATACCCATGCGATCCGATTCTAATGCGGACAAAAAAAGGGTCCTGCACCATTTTGGTGTGGATGCGGTGCGATTAGAGCCATGCAGAATGTATGGCTCCAATCACACCACACATTCGCATGTGATTTGCACAGGAATGCGTGCGGTTCCTGCATGAATCAAGCGATGTACCGTACTACGTATGTGTGAATCCAGGCTCTAATAAAACTGTTTGCAGACCTGTCTTGCTTACTTTGTCAGAAGACTTTCATTGAAAAGAAGTGTATTCACCCTCTTCTATTAATTACTATTACCCCCATCCACTATTACACAATGTACAGTATATACAGTGTGTCTGTGTGTGTGTATATATATATATATATATATATATATATTTTTTTTTTATTTGTAACTGTAAAATACCTTTTCTGCCGAACCCTGACCTGACCACTTCTAGCTTTCTTGCCAAGGTGGGAATAAGGTCCCTCCTTTTCATGCCCAAAGCCTAGGATACTGGATACATCACAGGTGGCTTAGGGACAATTTCAACTGCACTGTACATTTGTGTGGACTGGCTGAAAGAACCAAGAAGTGACAGCTGGCCTCCTGATTATGTCAAATGAGAAGCAGGCGGCATGGAACCTGTAGTGCTAAGACAGAGCGTTTACTTACACCAGACATCACTAGATTTGCTGGGTGTGTTTTTTTTTTTTTTGTGGACAACCCAGCAGAGACGATAAGAGGGGGAAAAGGATTGTAAAGAGGCGAGGGAAATTGTTCTCTAAAGTGGTTATAAAGGGATTTTCTTTTTTACCTTAATGCATTCTGTGCATTAATCACTTGACCGTCATAATGTTTTACCACCTTCATGACCAAGGCATTTTTTTTGCTATTCAGCACTTTGCTACTTTAACTGGCAATTGCTCAGTCATGCAACACTACCAAAATGATATGTATATCATTTTTTTAAACATAGAGCTTTCTTTTGGTGGAATTTGATCACCACTGGGTATTTTATTTATTATATAAAATGAAAAAAGACTGAAAATTTGGGGGAATAAAACAATATTTTCTACTTTGTTATCCAAATAAAAAAAAACAATTCTTCATAAGTTTAGAGCAAAGTTTATTAATCTCAGTAGGTGTATATTGGTTTGTGCACAAGTTATAGCGTCTACAAACTATGATATATTTACTGGAATATAAGCAACTATGATGTCCCAGCTTGGACCAATGTAATCATGTACAGCATCTCACCAGAAGTGAGTACACCCCTCACATTTTTGTAAATATTTTATTCTATCATTTCATGTGACAACACTGAAGAAATGACATTTTGCTACAATGTGACGTAGTGAGTGTACAGCTTGTATAACATGGAAATTTGCTGTCCCCTCAAAATAACTCAACACACAGCCATTAATGTCTAAACTGAGTAAGTGAAAATGTCCAAATTGGGCCCAAAGTGTGAATATTTTGTGTGGCCACCATTTTTTTTCAGCACCTCCTTAACCCTCTTGAGCATGGAGTTCACCAGAGCTTCACAGGTTGCAACTGGGAGATACTGTATATACCACACCTGGCTGATGCCCCTGGAAGCTGGAAATCACTGAAGCAGACACTGCTACTCCAGTTATCTCTACTTGTTTCCAGGTCCTGTGCCAATTGGCCAAATTGACACCTTGTGAATGCAGGAGGTCGAACACTTGTCAGCCTGTAGCGTTCTCTGGTTGGACAAGGTGGAAGGCAAGGCAGTGATATCACACTCTTTACCTTGTTCAATCAGAGAATGCTTTGTATTGTACAGCGCTGAGCGAACTATTGGCGCTTTATAAATACTGTATAATAATAATATTCATTTCATTTAGAAAATGCAGAGCATTCTCTGAATGGCACCTGTGCTGAGTGGGCTACAGCAATGAGACCCAGAAACAAGTGTAAATCACTGTAATAGTGGTGTCTGCCAGGTATGGTATATACACCGATCAGCTGTAAGATGATGACTGACAGGTAAAGTGAATAAGCCCTGGTTCACACTGGATGCAGCTTGGCATGTATGCCAAGTCGCACCCTATTGTCCACAATTAGAGTGGTCATATCAGTGCGGTTCCGACTTGGTCGGAGCCGCACTGATTTCAAAAGTAGTACATGCACTACTTTTGGTATGATTTGCATAGACATCTGTATCAGATGTCTTGCAAATTGCACCTGAGATTAGCGGCGGGTCCCCTGACTTTGAAATCGTACGACTTCACTGTAAGTCGCACTATTTCAATGTCGGGCTTGGTGTGAACGGGGGCTTACACTGATTACCTCATTACAATGACTTCTGAAAGTGGGTGGGTATGTTAGGCAGCAACTGAACATGTTGTCCTTGATGTTGATGTGTTGAAAACAGAAAAAATGGACCAGCATACGGATTTGAGCGACTTTGACAAGGGCCAGATGACAGTAAATAGACAACTAGATCAGCTCCAAAACTGTAGCTCTTGTGAGATGTTCCTGGTCTGCAGTGCTTAGGACCTACCAAAGATGGTCCAAGAAAGGAAAACAAACTCACGGGGAACAGCCGTAGCTACCAAGGTATTGGTGTTTCTAGCCCGTGATTCTGAAGTCAGTAAAAGTAATCTGAATGGCTGAAGAGCAAGTGGCGATTGATAGGGGAGCCAGGAAGGATGTGACCAGTGGCATCCAGTTGTTGTGCCTCTCACTGTGTGATGTCACAAACCTGGAAGCAAAGATGATTTAGTCACATTGGTGAAGAGTTGCAGCTCTTGATTTACCTGGCCGTTACCGTTTTATACACGTAGAAGAGGAATGTCAGAATTGGCCTGGACTGGAAGTGGTTGTACCCCTCTCAGCCCCGTGCTGGTCACTCTCCTGACCAGGGATTGGCTGAGGCTGTATAAATATTCAGGTCAGACTCCCATTCACTATATGTAAATTTACGGACAGTCTGTAAATTTCAGCTGAATTACGGACTGTCCGTGGATGTCTATTATGGACAGCGGACATCTGTAAAAGTATGGCTGCAGGCTGGTTTCAGAACTGTGCATGCAGGCTTGGTTGGGCTCTGATGGACTCGGAGCCTTAGATGGGGAGGGCCAGGCCGGGGATACGCATGCGCACCCGATTGCCTCCCTGCATTCTGAGGTCACCCCCCCCCCCCCTTACCTGCCATGATGAAAATTGAGCACACCCTGCCCAAACCAACAGATCAGTCCCATAAAGGTTCCTCAGGACTGGAGACACTAAAATTCATTACAGCAGAGCGGTGGCTCCTTGTGAAGACAACACAGGATGAGTCCACCTCTATCACCCCAAAAAGACCTTCCTCTACTAAGCCCAAACCTGTTACTAGTACCATCAAGGAGCACTTTGCTGGCACCCACTGTTCCTCTGCCCAACAGCTATTTCTAGAGCCTGCTGCTGTGAATGCCATACAGGATCCCTCCCAGCATCTATGACCATCTCTTGTATCCTCCTGTCTGTAGTCTCTGACCATCTCCTGTATCCTCCTGTCTGCAGTCTCTGACTGTATGCTGTATCTCTGACTATCTCTTGTATCCTGTCTGCAGTCTCTGACCATCTCCTGTGTCCCTTCTGCAGTCTCTGACCATCTCCTGTATCCTGTATGAAGTCTCTGACCTTTTCCTGTTTCATGTCTGCAGTCTCTGACCATCTCTTGTATCCTGTATAAAGTCTCTGACCTTTTCCTGTTTCATGTCTGCAGTCTCTGACCATCTCTTGTATCCTGTCTGCAGTCTCTGACCATCTCCTGTATCCCTTCTGCAGTCTCTGACCATCTCTTGTATCCTGCATGAAGTCTCTGACCTTTTCCTGTTTCATGTCTGCAGTCTCTGACCATCTCTGTATCCTGTATGAAGTCTCTGACCTTTTCCTGTTTCATGTCTGCAGTCTCTGACCATCTCCTGTATCCTGTATGAAGTCTCTGACCTTTTCCTGTTTCATGTCTGCAGTCTCTGAATCTCTTGTATCCTGTATGAAGTCTCTGACCTTTTCTTGTTTCATTCTGCAATCTCTGACCTTCTCTTGTCTTCTCTGCAGTCCCTGAGAGGGAGCCTGGAGAGAAGTCAAGTTCGGGAGTGCCTCCGTGATGTGTGAAACGGGAGGAGTCAGACATGTATGGACTGGTAACCCTCTTTTGAGCACAGTGTGGGGTGACCCATTTCCATGTGTTGATAACACGCCATTGTCATTGTAGGGATATTCATCCACGCGGTTCAAGATTTTCCCATGGAGATGGGACTTTTCTATATGGACTTAGTTTTCTGCATTCAGCTGTTTTGATTTGTATGTATGATGCATTCATTTTCCTGGGTTTGCTATTGACTTTATTTACACTGTTTGTGGACACATTCATTTAATTTGTGATCTGATATATTTAGTTTCACAAGGTAATAGCTGTGTTTACACCTTAATTTTATTTTGAGCACCACACTGTTTTATAATTATGTTTGACCAATCCCTATATTACGATTTTGTGTTAGCTGCTTAATCATCTTAGATTTTGGAACTAGCGTGCATTTGCTACATATTTTATAATCCCCCCCCCCCCTACCCTAGTGTATTCACTATGCAGAAGGTGGTCTGTGGTCACCAGAGTCACCGCCACATCAGTTTCAGGTGTTCCCCTTTAAATCAGTGTCTTCAGAGTTCCCCTTTACATCAGAGTCTGCAGGATTCCCCCTTACAGTGCAAGAGAGAACTCTACAGACCTTGATGTAAAGAGGAACTCTGATGTAAAGGACAATGCTGAAGACCTGATATAAGTGGGAACTTTGATGTAAAGGGGAACGTTGTGGACTACGATGTAAGGAGGGGGGCTCTGGTGACCAGAGACCACCTTGTATCAGAGTTTCCCTTTACACCGAAGTCTGCAGCATCCCCCCTTGCATCATGATTGGCAGTGTTCCCCTTTACATCAGAGTTCCCCTTGCACTGTGGGGTAGAACCCTGCAGACTCTGATCCAAGGGGGAACTCTGAGCTGGGTTATGGTAACCGGGCCTTCATGTAAAGGGAGAAACGTGGTTTTTGTCAGAACTGAAACACATTGCCAATAGCACTGGCTGCATGTTTGTAGCTTAATATATTGATATTTGCACTGAAAACAGCCGCTTCATGTACTTCTTTGAGGTGTCAATACAAAATGAAATAAACATGTCACTTGGGGGGGCAACACTGACTCCAGAGCTCATTGGAATCCAGGGGGAAGTAGAGGAGCCAGCAGAACCCAGGCCAAAGCAATGGAACACTGCTCCCTGCTACAGGGACGCCAGAAACACCGACATTTACCTGAACTTCATCAGCCTGACAAGGAAGGTGCTACATACTATTGAACCCTAACTTCTGCTGTGGCCTGAGGAGCCTGTGAAGGCGCTGGGTGATATTTATTCATCTCAGTAGCTTTCAGCACACAGTGCTGACGAACTCCAGGATGAAGATATTGTCACCATAGTTCCAGTTTAAATAAAGCTGTGTTACACTGAGCAAAAAAAAAAAAAACAGAAAACGCCTGTCTTTCCGGGGCCTTGTCATGACGTCATCTATGAAAGCCGAGAGAAAAGCGAGTGATCTATGGACGCCCCGCCCTACAACCCCCGACCCCGCCCTTAGTGAGTCAGGCCCGGGCCGGCTGTAAGCGCAAGTGACTCGTTTCCTCTTCACAACACAGGAGCCGCAGTGACAGGCCTGAGCCGCTGAACCGCGTCCCCTCCGGAGCCAACCCGCCCTAGCTGAGACCTCGAGAGCCGCTGCTGTCCTCTCTCCCCGTCCGCCATTCTGCTGCTCCCTCCATGGCGCTGAAAAGAATACAGAAAGTAAGTGTGATATGGGCAGGGAAACAATGGCGGCCGCCTCAGTGGGTGCTCTGTCATCCCCAGTACGGGGCTCTGTGATAGCGGCCCCTACAGGTCGGCACAGGTGAGCCCCTCAATGGTTGGGGTCATCTCAAAATGTGAACTTTCTACTGGTCTGTATTCTCAGGGAGGTGCAGTACTTTTCCTCCGTGGAGGGCGCAATCTCTCCCCTGAGGAGGGCACTGTACTTCGAGGATGGCGCAATCTGTCCCCTCCTCCGAGGATGGCGCAATCTGTCCCCTCCTCCGAGGATGGCGCAATCTGTCCCCTCCTCCGGGGATGGCGCAATCTGTCCCCTCCTCCGGGGATGGCGCAATCTGTCCCCTCCTCCGGGGATGGCGCAATCTGTCCCCTCCTCCGGGGATGGCGCAATCTGTCCCCTCCTCCGGGGATGGCGCAATCTGTCCCCTCCTCCGGGGATGGCGCAATCTGTCCCCTCCTCCGGGGATGGCGCAATCTGTCCCCTCCTCCGGGGATGGCGCAATCTGTCCCCTCCTCCGGGGATGGCGCAATCTGTCCCCTCCTCCGGGGATGGCGCAATCTGTCCCCTCCTCCGAGGAGGGCGCAGTCTGTCCCCCCCCCTCCTCCTCCGAGGGAGCAATCTGCCCCCCCCTCCTCCTCCGAGGGCGCAATCTGCCCCCCCCCCCTCCTCCGAGGGGCGCAATCTGCCCCCCCCCCCCTCCTCCGAGGGCGCAGTCTGCCCCCCCCCCCCTCCGAGGAGGGCGCAGTCTGCCCCCCCCCTCCTCCGAGGAGGGCGCAGTCTGCCCCCCCTCCTCCTCCGAGGAGGGCGCAGTCTGCCCCCCCCCTCCTCCTCCGAGGAGGGCGCAGTCTGCCCCCCCTCCTCCGAGGAGGGCGCAGTCTGCCCCCCCTCCTCCGAGGAGGGGGCGCAGTCCTGCCCCCCCCCTCCTCCTCCTCCGAGGAGGGCGCAGTCTGCCCCCCCCCTCCTCCTCCCCCGAGGAGGGCGCAGTCTGCCCCCCCCCCCTCCTCCTCCCCCGAGGAGGGCGCAGTCTGCCCCCCCCCCCCCCCCTCCTCCTCCCCCGAGGAGGGCGCAGTCTGTCCCCCCCCCCCCTCCTCCTCCGAGGAGGGCGCAGTCTGTCCCCCCCCCCCCCTCCTCCTCCTCCCCCGAGGAGGGCGCAGTCTGTCCCCCCCCCCCCCCTCCTCCTCCCCCGAGGAGGGCGCAGTCTGTCCCCCCCCCCCCCCCCAGTCTGCCCCCCCTCCTCCTCCCGAGGAGGAGGGCGCAGTCTGCCCCCCCCCCCCTCCTCCTCCCCGAGGAGGGCGCAGTCTGTCCCCCCCCCCTCCTCCTCTCCCCCGAGGAGGGCGCAGTCTGTCCCCCCCCCCCCCTCCTCCTCCCCCCGAGGAGGGCGCAGTCTGTCCCCCCCCCCCCTCCTCCTCCCCCGAGGAGGGCGCAGTCTGTCCCCCCCCCCCCCCCGCAGTCCTCCCCCCTCCTCCTCCTCCGAGGAGGGCGCAGTCTGTCCCCCCCCCCTCCTCCTCCCTCCTCCCCCGAGGAGGGCGCAGTCTGTCCCCCCCCCCCCCTCCTCCTCCTCCTCCCCCCTCCCCCGAGGGGGCGCAGTCTGTCCCCCCCCCCCCCCCTCTCTCCTCCTCCCTCCCCCCCGAGGAGGGCGCAGTCTGTCCCCCCCCCCCCCTCCTCCTCCTCCCCCGAGGGCGCAGGGCGCAGTCTGTCCCCCCCCCCCCCGAGGAGGGCCCCCCCCCCCCCCCTCCCTCCCCCGAGGAGGGCGCAGTCTGTCCCCCCCCCCCCCCCCCTCCTCCTCCTCCCCCGGAGGGCGCAGTCTGTCCCCCCCCCCTCCTCCTCCCCCCCCGAGGAGGGCGCAGTCTGTCCCCCCCCCCCCTCCTCCTCCCCCCGAGGAGGGCGCAGTCTGTCCCCCCCCCCTCCTCCCCCCCCGAGGAGGGCGCAGTCTGTCCCCCCCCCCCCCCCCCCGAGGAGGGCGCAGTCTGTCCCCCCCCCCCCCCCCCCGCCTGTCCCCCCCCACTCCCCCCCCCCGAGGAGGGCGCAGTCTGTCCCCCCCCCCCCCCCCCCGAGGAGGGCGCAGTCTGTCCCCCCCCCCCCCCCCCCCGAGGAGGGCGCAGTCTGTCCCCCCCCCCCCCCCCCCCCCCGAGGAGGGCGCAGTCTGTCCCCCCCCCCCCCCCCCCCCCCCCCCGAGGAGGGCGCAGTCTGTCCCCCCCCCCCCCCGAGGAGGGCGCAGTCTGTCCCCCCCCCCTCCTCCTCCCCCGAGGAGGGCGCAGTCTGTCCCCCCCCTTCTCCTCCCCCGAGGAGGTGGACCGCGGCACTTCTCCTTCCTCCTCCTCCGGGTGGACCGCGGCACTTCTCCTTCCTCCTCCTCCGAGGTGGACCGCGGCACTTCTCCTTCCTCCTCCTCCGAGGATAACATTAGCTGCTTCTAGAAGCATAAAAAAAAAAATCCTAAATACCACAAGAAGCAGCATTTTTTAAGCCAGTGTGTATGGAGCCTTAAAGGAGAAGTAGGGCTAAAGTTTTTTTTTTTTTTTTTTTTGGCTGTACTTCTCCTGTGAGTCACAGAAATGCAGTTTTCTCTGCACTCCTGTGACCCCATATGATCGGGATCTGTCCAGAAGCCTGGATCAGCAGCTGACTCGGCGATTCGCTGAAAGCCTGTGTTCAGCCGCCCCCACTCCCTCCACAGCCCAGCGCTCCAGTGAGACTTGAGAGATAAGCAGTCAGCAGTGTCTGATTTGTCAATTCTAGGTCTTAGAGGCGGCAGGGTGCAGCTGCAGCTGGGATCGGTGCTGCAGCCATCCAGGTGAGTTTTTTTTTTGTTTTTCCAGATGTTCCAGATGTTTTTTGTTCTTTTGATTCCCACGGTTCTCTTTTAAAGTCTAAGTCC